CTAAATATAAATATAATCTAAACAAACGTTAGATATTAAAATATATATATAAATATATAATAACAAGTTCGTTACAGATGTGATTGTCGTTTGTAAACAAGAATAATTAATATCGATTACAAGAGTGGGCCAAACGTGGCCTAGTGGGTTATCTACCGGACTGTGGATCCCAGTGTTCATTACTCTCGTCTCGTTGCCGCAAAAAAACTCGCGCTTTGCACTCTGGGACCGCGAGTACATTATAAGAGTGACAGTAAAATCCTGCTATTCAGTTGGCAGTGAGCGCTGTTGATTAATTGTTGTCCTTTTAGCCTATAAGCTCAAACTTAGGGAAGGCTATCACAGATAGCCCTTATATAGCTTTACGCGAATAACCGAACAGACTGAACCAAATATATATATACACTAGTAGAGGCTAGTTTTCCAATTCCACTTGTAGCAAGTGTTTGTATTTCGTTAGTTAATATAAAAAACACAACAGGATTTAGTATACCTCCAGTTAGCCTCTACAGTTTTCATGCTTTGCTTCTAGTTATCTCAGGGTGCTTTTGCTAGTATTTTCCGTTTTCACTTTTGTAATAATTGAAATAAGAACGAAACATATATTTCGGTCGTCAGAGCTATAATAAACTTATACACAGTCGAATATACAATATGATATATAGTTCATGAAATCAGTTAGTTCAATGACATTAAATGTATTGTTTTTGCATATTTTAAATAACATTTGTATTAAGAAAGATAATGTGTTACAGATGTCAAAAATATATAAATACGAAACTGAGTCAAAATAGTCAAACCTTTGTAGATTACTGTGTGTTTATCCTGATGTTTCAACCTATATGTTTCAACTTTAAACATTCACTTTTACTTTATTTTCGGATAATTATCGGCTTAATACAAGGATACTTAAGAGAATTGTATTTTAGTTCAGGGTTCTTCTGATGGTAATGCTGACGTCTGTCCCTCAACAAGCCAATGGAAAGAGACCACAATAGAGTTTAGGATTGATGAACCTCCATCAGCCAAGTCTCTTTCTGGTACATAACGATTTTTTTTTCTAAAACCCCTTACAAGAATATGTTTACTTCTTAAACTTTTATCAAAATGGTAAATGTAAACCAAGCTGTGACGTTTCAAAAAAGACATTTCTTCTTTGTTAATTCGGAATGATATTCAAACTTCTCTTGATGAAATTTAAAAATGATTTATTTTTGTTGAAGTATGATATGTACTTGAAGAGGTACTGACGTTACGATATTTTGCGTAGTTCTTATTATACTCCACGGGAAAAAAACCCTTACAAAGAAATTGAAAGATGTAGTGTAATAATATTTTTGTTACCTTACTCATTTACTGCCACACTGAAACATTGAAAACTTTGTCTTTGCTCGGTATATTATTATCAAAGGCAGACTCTGTCCTTGACCCCATATTATTATCAAGAACGGACTTTGTCCTTGCTCCAAATTATTATCAAGGACAGACTTTGTCCTTACCCCCCATATTATTATCAAGGACAAACTTTGCCCTTGCCCCCTCCATATTATTATCAAGGACAGACTATGTCCTTGCCCCCTCCATATTATTATCAAGGACAGACTTTGTTCTTGCCCCATATTATTATCAAGGACAGAATTTGTCCTTACCCCCATATTATTATCAAGGACAAACTTTGCTCTTGCCCTCTCCCTCCATATTATTATCAAGGACAGACTTTGTCCTTGCCCTATATTATTGTCAAGGGCAGACTTTGTCCTTGCTCCAAATTATTATCAAGGACAGACTATGTCCTTGCCCCCTCCATATTATTATCAAGGACAAACTTTGCCCTTGCCCCCCTCCATATTATTATCAAGGACACCACTGAAGAGCACAAACGATGGAATACATAGCTTAACTAATAGAAACAAAATTCGAGTACGACGAAATTTAAACAATTGTTCTCCATAATATTCACTCAAGACACAATTTATCTAAATAACGGCTAGTTAGTGAATGGTCACTGCTTATTATTTTTCATGTTTAAATGAACAACATTTGTTTGGTGTATTGTAAACTATTCTTAATGAAAAAAGAAAAGTTCAGTATATCTGTATAATGATTACACGTTTTGGGTGTATCTGGGAGTGGTATTCAGATATTTACATCGAGTCTTTTATTGTAGTCGAAAATATTCAAAATGTGGGGCAGTATTGGTTACCTCTTTTCTGGTACTTCAGCAGTGGCTTTATGATATAGTGTTATGGTAGGAAAGTGAAATATGCAGTTCAGACTTATTAAGGCCTTCGACATCAACTTCATTCTTCTGAATATCTTAACGTCTGCATATACGAATGCACTGCTGCTATTTAAAGCATAAACTCAGAAGTTAGGATTTATAGAGTTGGAAACCATGCGAAACATTACGAGGTCAAAATGATCTGGTTACCACATGCACTAAAATATTTGAATAAATTGACTCAAACTGGTCAAAATTGGAGGCATTGCTGAATCAAATCAAGCCAAATTAATAATAAGAATAATGTATTACCAAGTATAGCTTTTGTGAAATTTTGAGGGTATCCTTGGAACACACTGTCTGAAGCCCAGCAACTCCAGATTCTCGAAATTGAATGGCCTTTATCTTATATTTGATATCACGGTGATTTATTTAATTCTCTTTGAACCAAATTTCGATTCCGCGAAGCTTAATTGGATAGTAACTTCAGACCCTCTTTGATTCCGAGAACAATTCAAACAATTTAACCAGGCCATATTCCAATTAACTGGATTATGATACAATGAAGATTCACGCAACCATTGGAATCATAATCCAGTTAATTGGAATATGGCCCGGTTAAATCATTTGAATTGTTCTCGGAATCAAAGAGGGTTTGAAGTTACTATCCAATTCAGTTTTAATATTCGGCTGATTAGCAGTCAAAATATTTTTTTAATACAATAAAAATGCTTACTACTACTTTTTCGCGTATGGACTTTACGTGAAATATTATAAATACCCCAAATTAACACAAACTTTCTTTGCTTGTTTTTATTATGTTTTGATATTGTGTTTACAGAATCTCCGAAACGCAAATTGTCAAAACGATTAAGAAAATTGTCAGGAAATTGAAGAAAATCACAGACATTCTACGTATGTAAGTATTTCAATCAAGACATTTTACTTGCAGGTCATAAACTACACAGAACTAAAACACCGGAATTTCGTCAACAAACAATATAATAAATTTTTTAAATCAGAATCTGTTAAAAAACAAGTGTTTTATTCTACTTGTTCTTGTACAAAAATTGACTAAAAATGAATTTACTTTTCATCTTAACAATACAATGTGATTTTATAGAATATAATGCGTTTTGCTTATATCTTTATTTATATACATTTTAATATATATTATTTAATTGATTTGCGTTTCGCATCTAGAAAGTTTAGTCGTGGATTGGAAATGGAAACTTCGTGCTATAATAATGCAAAACATATATATATATATATATATAACAACGTTGTTAAAACATAACTTTATTAAATATTTGATAAAAATTTAGTGGTTGAGTGAAAAGTCGTTAACTCTACGTAAATTTGTAGTTTAGTCCTTTTTCTCTTTAGCCACAGTTTTAAGCTTTAACTTAAGATGAAAAAGAAATCAGAAAAATGAGAAAATTTAATGATTTCAACATCAAACACACACCCGTCGTTATTGAAAAATAAAACTTCATGCTCTTGAGGGTGTGAATTTAGTAAATAAAGTTCGTACTCCTGCTATATGTGCAAAGATGCGAATTTATCAACAGGTTGGACAGTCGTGTAAGCGATGTGTGAAAATAATAATAATAGAACAATTAACAAAATTAGTTGCATTAAGAAAATTTTATTGTTACCATAAATCTTAAGAAAATGATTTTCGTCGAAGGCAATAACTTTCCAAAATTTATAGATTTTCAATTAAGCTTACTTGTTTGAAATATAATTTCTTTAAAATATTAATGTTTAATATTTCCTAATTCTTTCTAGGTGTGAATTCATACCTCTTGTATCATAACTTCACAGCTATTACTATCATTACTTCACAGCTATTATCACTTCACAGCTATTACTATTATACTTCACAGCTATTATCACTTCACAGCTATTACTATTATACTTCACAGCTATTACTATCATTACTTCACAGCTATTACTATCATTACTTCACAGCTATTACTATCATTACTTCACAGCTATTATCACTTCACAGCTATTACTATCATACTTCACAGCCATTATCACTTCACAGCTATTACTATTATACTTCACAGCTATTACTATCATTACTTTACAGCTATTACTATCATTACTTCACAGCTATTAGTATCATTACTTCACAGCTATTACTATCATTACTTCACTGCCATTACTATCATTACTTCACAGCCATTACTATCATTACTTCACAGCTATTACTATCATTACTTCACAGCTATTACTATCATCACTTCACAGCCATTACTATCATTACTTCACAGCTATTACTATCATTACTTCACAGCTATTACTATCATTACTTCACAGCTATTACTATCATCACTTCACAGCTATTACTATCATCACTTTACAGCTATTACTATCATTACTTCACAGCTATTACTATTATTACTTTACAGCTATTACTATTATTACTTTACAGCTATTACTATCATTACTTCACAGCTATTACTATCATTACTTCACAGCTATTACTATCATTACTTCACAGATTATTATGGTGTTTCGAGTTAGATATAATAGTTATACATTTTTGAAATTTTGTCAACAGGGTCATTAAAAGCTGATCAGAACGTCACTAAAATGGGATTAGAAATGGACGTACGTGTTATGCGACACTGAACTGAAACTATATGGATACTAAGATCGTTTTTTTTTGTTTTTTTTTGTTACGTTTAATATACGTTTTCATTCCATTTTATCCTTCATTGTCCTGAGAGATTTTAAGAAGACCTGAAGTAGAATATAAACATGTGACTCAGCTTACGGGAGGAATTTCTTCAAGTTCCAGTAAAACCATATCAATGTGTTAAGTCATGATGTTTTGTATATAAATTGTTTCTCTGCACTTTCTAAATTTGTTGTCAACGGAGATAATAAAATTGTAAAATTTTTCAAGTGATTTTGTATTTTTTCTATGCTCACTAGTCACACTTTCTGGTGGCTATTATCTACCTTTGCGCTTAACAACAACCTGCAATATTTTTCCTTTTGTAGATAATATTCAAGCCTCACTTCCCTCCATGATTCTTGTCTGCGGGCTCTTTAGGATTTTTGATCTAAACTCTGGCTCAATACAATTATCCTTTCATTTTTAATAAGGCAGTGCCTATAGAAATATGAGTGTCCTCTAGATATATGGTGAAACGTGTATATCTAAACCTTTAACAACACAACGTCTATCTAAAACAATCTAATGGTTAATTTCCAGAGGACACCAACTCAGTTTTTAAATCACAATTAGATAGATACATCTTTGTATTTAATTAAGATTATTTAAGAATGGTCTGTTTGTTTGTTTTGAATTTCGTGCAAAGCTACACGAGAGCTATCTACGCTAGCCGTCCTTAATTTAGCAGTGTAAGACTAGAGGGAAGGCAGCTAGTCATCACCACCCACCGCCAACTCTTGGGCTACTCTTTTACCAACGAATAGTGGGATTCACTGTCACATTATAACGCCCCCACGGCTGAAAGGGCGAGCATATTTGGTGGGACGGGGATTGGAATCCGCGACCCTCAGATTGTGAGTCCAGCACCCTAACTACCTTGTCATGCTGGGTCTTTAAGAATGGACGTTAGCTTTCAAACTTAAGGGAAACTTTCCTTTGTCATAGTGTAATCAGAGCCATATTGGTTCAATAAAAGACCATTAATGACCTACATTTGAATCAAAAGTTGATTAATTATTCATAGGTATTTTGATACAACGCTAAAAAGGCTTTCTACGCCAAATTTTTTTGAAAACAACAATAAGACAATAAAAATTGCTGAAACGAAGAAAAGAAAAGTAACGGATAAGACATGCCTATTAATGTTGAAAAAATTAAGTAGAATGGGATCTATGGCTAATGAATAACCACAAGTGTTAGTACTATCATCATTTCCTATGACACTGACCATGTGAGAGTTAAAGTATAGCTAAAATGCTGACACTGCTATAGTGTCGGAGGGACTGTAAAATGTGACCAATAGTGGTATAAGTGTCACATTGCTCACGTATTAATGGGTTGGACTCCTGTGGGAGAAAACTGTATGTGAGAAGGCCATGGTCATTACAGAGACTTGGTAGAAAAATCCTTTATACGACCATTCATTAATTGCAGGCTAAAAGGTCATTCATTAATTGCAAGCTAAAAAGGCCATTCATCGATTGCAAGCTTGATTTGGTAAATCTTACTATATAGTAGCATATCACAAACCACCTGAAACCTGGCATGAAGCCTCTCCCTGATGACAGTCTTTATATCAAGACATGCAATGCACAGATGCTCAAAAGTGTCGATGGAGACTGATTAGGCTGCAATGCCCACCAGCTCATTCTACATGGTCAGGAATTCAGTGAAACTGGAAAGATGGAGATGATAATGCTAAAGTGGCCAGTTGTCAGTAAATTTGTGAGAGAAAAGGCCGAGAACTATGTTTGACATTTCCGGGGCCTTCACATAACTAATTTTGTATAAATAATACAGTTTTAGTATCGCTTAGTTTCAATATGCTCAGGAGTATGTAGATTGCATGCAACTCTGTGGACACAGAAGTCTGAGATGGGATGCTGTGATCAATGACAAAGTTAAAACAAACCATTTCTTCTTTATATAGTCTTTCAAGTTTGTTTGTTTGTAAGTAGATCTAGTTATTTGTTTCCATAACACTTCCATTTAAATAATCCTAATACTGGCTACATGACGGAGTCTGGGATGGGATGCTGTGATCAATGACAAAGTTAAAACAAACCATTTCTTCTTTATATAGTATTTCAACTTTGTTTGTTTGTAAGTAGATCTAGTTATTTGTTTCCTTAACACTTCCATTTAAATAATCCTAATACTGGCTACATGAGTCTGAGATGGGCGTGAAATAGAAAAATGAAGGTACTGCTGCATGTAAGTGCATTAATAGAAATTCATGTGTCTTTTATTTAAATTACCAGTTATTGTCGATTGTAAAGAAAGACAAAATGTTTATGAATACATAAGACTATATCATGAAAGTGTACATATAATGAACACACAATCAATACATTTGTTGTTTTTTATGTATTTTCCAACTATACAGTTTATTTGCCTCAAAGATGCAGTTTGGTGTATCTCTGGATCTTAATCTGTAGAGAAAGTATGCACTTAATTTAACTTATTTTAAGGTTTCCCATCCGTTCCAACAACTAAGTTAACTAGTTTAGCGTTTTCCATTCCTTACCAACGACTAAGTTAACTGTTCTAAGGTCTTCCATCCTTGTGAACAAATAAGTTAACTATTTTAGGGTTTTTCCATCCTTTTGGACAACTAAGTTAACTAGTTTAGGGTTTTCCATTCCTTACCAACGACTAAGTTAACTGTTCTAAGGTCTTCCATCCTTGTCCAACAACTAAGTTAAATAAAGAAGCTAATATGGCATTGAGAATTTATTTTGTGGTATTTTTCTCATCTGTCGCCTACACAGCTACTTTTAATTGTCATAGTTTTGATGATCCTAAAGCTAAAATTGTAGAATGTATTTCGTGTGTCATATTGCAGAATGAAAGGTATATCTTCTTACTCACAGATCCACAGCTTGGTACATTAACCACCAGGTAAAGAGTTTCAAGTTCGAGGGAGTGAACCACATGTTCAGTATCTAAGTCTAAAATTAACTTATTATACCCATGTCAGTTAGTGTGGAACAAAATATAACAAATAGAGTAAAACAGTTACATGTTCTACTCAATCTACTAATCTACACTTCTCGTGTAAGCATAATTATCAAGTAACCCTTGTCATCTATTTTTTGGACTAAACTAGTCGTACAGTTCACAGAGTTAAAACAATAGTGTTAATATGAGGGGTGGGTGAGGTTAAAAAGGTGCTGAGGAAAGAATTCTTCATCAAATCTATAAGAAACCAAATAACAATTATCTGGGAGAAGTTAAACTCATTCTTACCAAAGTAAGCTCAATAAATCACATTGTACTCACTACAGGTGGTAACTGACCTATCAGTATTAAGGTCAAGATCAATCTATATAACTGAAAAATAGTTTGACTTCTAAGACACTACTGAAGAAGTTATGGCTCAACTTATGTCCCCTCCCAGAAAGAAGGAGAAAACCTTCCCCCTTGTTACTTGCTTCTTCCACTGGACCTCAGTAATATTTAAAAAGGGGAGAGAAAATACCCAATTCCAATGATGTTAACTTCAAGCAAAACCAAACCCCAAAAAATATATAATTTACCCATACTTGGACTTAGTTAGGAAAAACTAAAGTCACTGAAGACGTCAGACACTTTGAAGTGAACGTTTCCATTCACGATACTATTTACTTGCTCTGTTGTATCATAACAAAGTTCTAAATCTACCATTCCAAATCATGCTGTGAGCAAACCAAATTAGTTAATTGTTATTTAAATAACTAATAAATATAACAAGCCAGAACATTTTACTGTAAATCAGCAATTATCTCCTTATCTATCAAGTGCTTTCTATGCTAAGCACTCAACTCTCTCAACACTCATCTTCCTGTTCTATTTTGGTGTTTTTCCAATCTTGGCGGATTTACATAAAGAAACAAAACAAGCAAGTAACTATCTTAGAGGAGAGGTAATCTGCAATGAAGATCATGTACGAGTAAACAGAGAAGACCATAAAGAAATTGAATAATAGTAACTCTAGAAACAAGTTTGAAAAGCACGCAGACTCTTCTTAAGGAGGAAGGTAACGAAAATGACAAATGAATCTAAATTACAAAGTATTTGAAATATTGATTTTCCTTAGCATAATTAAAGCATGAAAGACACACACGTTGAAAAGTCTCCAGATAAATATTGCAGAAAGTACAAACTACGGAACAGTGAAGCCTTTTAACCAATTTTATATAGAGTACTAAATCAAAAGTGCCATAACCACATCTTGAAGTTTATTCTTGAAAGCATCAAAAGTTTCAGTTTGTCTGGAAGAAAATATATTATAAGTATCAGTTCGTTAAATTCTCTGAGTAAGGCAGATCCAAACATGAAACTGCCTAAAGGAAGATAAATGGACGACATTGCTGCTTTTGCAGACCTGATGAGAAATTTATTCCCACGTATACCAGAAATAATTACTTCATCAGTATGTATAAAACAGTTATAGAGAGCAAGACATTTCCATAGTGAACAAGGATGTTTGCAGTATCCATGCAAATGTACAAAGATTAAAAAATGAAGTAGCAATACTAACTAATCAAGACAATGTAAAGAACAAGTTCAGAAGCAGAATTACTAGTAATAAAATATAAATAAGTTATGTTCTGGATATAGAAGGAACATGGAGTTTTCCCAATACAAGGGTCACATGAACCATTTGTATAAATACTCAAGTAGTCTTAAAACTCCGAGATATAAATAAAACAATTTTTAATATTGCTACACCCATATGGGTCTCTGCAAGACTGAGGTCGACGAGTGCAAGGAGAAGGAAAACACCATACAATCTAAGGTTCTAAGGAGAAGACAGCCTTGATAAAGAGAAGCAAACAAATCTTATCACACATTAGAGAAATAGAATATGGAGTAACTTCACACCTATATTGGTAATGTTAGTTAAAATTACCAAGAAGTGAAAAAATAGATATTTCTAGAACACTGGACAAATATAAAGCCGTATTGTCCAAGTAAATACTGTCATCAAAGGGCCAAGGGGGGCCTCAAAAGTGAGAAATTTGTAAAGGAAAGGAAAGACAACAGATGTTGACTACTCAATTCATATGTACACAATCTTATTTTGAAGTAGAACAAGTATTGGTATCACATATATGGTTTATTAATATAAACTAATAATAGCACAAAAATAATCCGATATTGAGTAACTAAAAGTATTACATAAGTACGATTAGGAGACAGCTGTGAGAAAATGAATATAAATTATGGCACTGACTGCAGAGAAAATATGTCGTTTTCAAGTCCAATGATTTCCAATATCATTCCAAGATACCTGATTTCTACCATCAAGAAGACATTCATGTTTCTAATATAAGTTTTAGTGTGTTAACGTTTTTCTATGGGTAACAACCATATACATACGTTTTAATACAGTAAAAGTAAATCCTAGTTTTTAGCCCAGGTAGTAACAAGGTCCAATGTGTTTAAATGGTGTGGTAGGTGATACAATGATTATTTCTTTGTCCTCAAATGAAAAGATATCTTCAAAAAGGACTAGTTTTTTTTACTTCCCTTAAAATGCTGTATAATATCGCATTTCATAATGTTAAAAGAGCTTGGAGTTTCGTGGCATCTCTCTCTAGTAAAAGATCTTGTAAAAGAATGAGTATGTTGGATTTTAATAACAAATGTTACCATGCAATAAATGTGAAGTCATCACAAAAACTACTTCTTCCCCAAGACTATAAATTTTCGAAATGGTTATCAACACCATCATTGTCAAAAGTAAATTCATAATGTCAAAAACATCTACCATATGTCCACGAGTCAGACTAACGAGTTCTTGCAGAGCACCAAAACAGTCAGTAGTACTTTTCTTTTTGTAAAATCCTTCCTGAAAAGGAAACAATTAACAATTAATGTTCAAGAGACCAATTGAGTCTGGCATTAATAATGTTTTCCATAATTTTGTCAATACAAGAAGATAACATAATTGGACAATAAGATATTCAGAACGAAGAAGGATTTCTAAGCCTAATTATTGGTATTGCATCTTTGATTTTTTAATTATTTGGGTAAGTAAGTACGAGAAAACCAACAAATTTTAAACTGACTATAAGAATAATCATAGTTAGAGAATCAAGTTGAAGAACACAGAATTACTTTAGATTATTCTGCTACTGATCTGTACCAGAAGCCAACCGATAAACCTCAATATTCACAGTATTAAAGTTGTCTCCCCTTTCCTCAGCACATCAAAGGTAATGTTACATCCAGCCAAGGCCCAAAAACTCAAGGAAAATCTACTCTGACATGGAATTCACATTAATTCTTTAAAAATAATTATGACTAAAAGAGTCTATAATCACAACACTGTCGCCAAACAAATTGATAAAGCTAACAGCACTTTTGAGGCGATGTCTTGAAATAATCACTGGATAAACACCTCGCCTCTAGTGTTCCATTGGTTATTTATCTCCTACCATCCAAAACTGAAAAACTTATCATGGATAACAAATAAATACTTCCTCTTATTTAATTCATTAATCAACTAATTTTTTTCCGATGCTCCTGTTGTTTCGTTTTAACAAAACGTTAAAATCCTGTTCCACAGTACACTTGAAGTGCGTTGTTAATGGACTACATCTGTCTAGGAAATTTTTGGACGATGCTTTGAGCTGCTGTTGTAGATCTTCATCAGGACTTGATGAAGATCAGACCAGTTCTTTAATAAAGACAACCAAAAACAGTACAAAATCATAAAACCCATAACTTGCACCAAATAAAATCGCTTTATATCCAATCCAATGTCAAAAATGTAACTTCCATTATGTTG